CTCCTCTCCCGCGCCCTCCTGGCTGTTTCTCACCGGGGAGGGCGTGGGGCTGGCAGCTGGCCCTGGGCCTCCGCTTTCTGGAGACTTAGGGTTGAGCAGGAGGGCTCTGGGCTCCGCGCCCGCCCCGCCGTCGGGTTCCTGTTTTCCTCTCCGGGGCGACGCAGGCTGCAGCTCTCCCGCGTCTGCTTTGTTAGTGGGACCCCAGCTCCCGGACTGGCCAGGCTTGCGGGCAGGGCCGCAGGAGTCGGAGGCTTTGCAGTCTGGGCCTGCGCCGTGGCCACCTGCGCTCTTCACTGCGCGCTCAGAGGGCTTGGTTTCGGACGTCCCCAATCCACGGCCGCTTTCCTCTTGGCTTCCCGCGCTGGTAGAAGCCTGGTCCAGGGGGCTGGCTGTCAGGGAGCTAGAATGAGTACCTGAGAGCTGTCTGGAGGTGGGCTCCACCCTCGCGGGGGTCATTCCTGCTGACCCCCCATCTTCCGTGCAGGAATCCTGAGCAGTGATGGCTGAGGTATTGAGGACCTCACCGGGGAGGCTCACCAATTTACTACCCCCCTGGGAAGCTGCCTGGATGTGCACCTCTGGCATGATGCCAGGGCACTGCCTCAACTCCTGGGGGGCTAGGGTGTTGACTGACAGCTCCAAAGTGTGGCTCCCGCTGCCGTGGCAAAGGACACGCAGCTGCTCTTGTTCCAAACGCTCAGGGGCAGGGGTTTCCTTTAAGAATGCAGTGAGGATGCTGGGGCTGGTGGAGACAGATCTGCTCTCAACACTCGCCACGGCCTGCACCTCAGCATCTTGCTGAGCCCTGTTGGGGACGCCCTGGATCTCCTTTTCAGCTTGGTTGGTCATGGTACTCGCCTCCCTGAACCTTGACGCCTGACGCTGCGCTGGTTGCAGCGCCTTCTCTGGGTCTGGAGGAAACGCCAAACCTTCGCGAGTGAGGTGGGATGGTTGAGGTGTCACAGAACTCACGGCCTGGGTGGGTGAGGTGGTGGCAGAGGGCTGTTTGCTCCCTGAACGTCCGTCTTCTCCTGCTGGAGATGCACAGGACCTCGTCTTGGAGTCATGAAAGGCCCCCTGCCTTTCCCCTTGAGGCCCGCCCGCGGGAGAGGAGGCATGGCCGAGCATCCCCGCAGCTGCGTCTGCATTTTGCACCATTCCCTGGACTGTTTCTTGAGAAGGAAAGTCACAGGGCGCTTGATCTTCACTGCTGCTACAAGTGCCTCCCACAGGACAGCTCGACTTCTCCGGCTGCTCTCCCTCTGAGGGTCTCTGTGATTCCCGCAGGGTATCTTCAGATCTTGGTGAGGCGCTGGCGTTGGGCTGGTCACCTGGGATGGCCTGGTGGGTGTGTTGACTGGCTGGCGCGGTACATGCTGTGTGTAGAAGATCCTTACCTGCTGCAGAGCACGGGGCTGGTGCTGTGGGCTTGCTGTTTCCTGGCAGCTGGGAATGGCCAGGGGAGTTGAGCGTGGGAGATGCTTTTGCCACCTCATTGAAGATGCCAGGAGAAGACATGTCTGGCTGGGTGGCCTCATGCTCACAGGCCTGCATCAGGGCCTCGGAAGCTGCCCTGGGGCTGAGGTCTGGTTCCGTAGGCTTGCCGGAAAGGCCATTGGTGTTCTTGCACAGGAGGGCTGGTCGAGGCTGAGGTGAGGTAGCCTCTACCTCTCCTAGATCCTCTTTTCCAGAAGCTGTGATCAGGGAAGTTTTAGCTGACCTTAGAGGGTCAGGTACAGTCCCCATGGAATTTCTCTTCAGGAAAACCTCAGAGCTCTCCCCTGAGCAATGCTCCCACTGGAAAGCGGTCGTAGCTCAGAGGGAAGACACAGTCGGGATGATTCCTCTGAAGGACCGATCTGCGAATCAAGGAAACAGTACCGTTAATATGACACAGCTTTTAAGAACTGAAAATACACCTGTCATTTGTATAAGATCTCATAGGTGCATTAACTCTTTTCTCCCCAAATCTGTTCATATAAAACTACATAGATCTTGGAAAGTAAAATTTTGGAAAAAACATTTTAACTATGCAGTTATTATTTTGATATATTAGTTTCCTTTTGTGTTCCACTGCTGTCTAGCAAATAGGTTTTTAATGTATTTAGTTAAGCATTTGAAAACTACCTTAAAAGTCATTTGTGTAATCTGATTAACCGGATATCAGAAAATCCTGTAAAGTGACTGTGATCAAATCAATAAGTATTGAAATGGGCCTAAACAGACATGAGAAATAGAATATCTAGAAATAGATCCATATATAAATGAGGATTTGATATATAACAAGAGAGGCATTTCAATTTAGTGGCAAAAGGATGGATTACTTAATATAAGGGACTGGAAAACTGTTTATTCATCTGGAAGAAAAGAAAACTAGGTCTTTATCTTACACTAATTCAAAAGATAAATCCTAGATGGATTTAATGGATTAAAGATTAAAACATAACATAAATAAAAAACAAAAAGTTAAATAAATAAATTTCCTGTAAGAGGATCTAGGAACCATAAACATAATCTAGGAACAAGGAGGGTAAGTTTCCTTTGGAAAGGCAGAAAATACAGGAACTATAAAAAAAACATAAACATAGGTGTCTAAATAAAATTCAAAATTTTGCATGTCAAAAGGTACCATAAACAAATACATCAGATTTGAAAAAAAAATGTCTGCAACTCTAGAAGACAGGCAAAAATATCTATAATACAGTAGAATCTCTTAAAAATTTATAAGGAGACAAAATAACTCATTGCAAAAATGGATAAAAATATGAAAACGCAATTTGCAAGACAGGAAATCCAGCAACCAGCAAGCTTATGAAAAGATGATCACATTCATTTGTAGTAGAAGAAATGCAAAGAAGTAACAATTAGATTTTACTTTATACCCATTGCACTTGGAAAAGTTTTCAAAAACAGTTGTAACACTCTAGCCGGGGGAGACCTAGCTAAAGAAAGCATTTTTATTAATTGTAGGTATAAATGTGTATTGTTACAACTTTCTTAGGGAAGCAGTTTAGTTTTTATAACTAAAAATACACATATCCATGGCCTAGTAATCCCAATAGAAACAAAATACCAGCATATATATATATTTAGGTACAAGCATGTTTACTGAAGTACTATTTGTAGAGGCAAAAACTGGAAACAAACTGACCTCCACGAGTGGGGGCTAGTAAAAATAATCATAACATATCTCTACTGTAGAGCATTATGCAACCATTACAAGAAACCATCGTCCTGGCTGGTGTGGCTCACTTGGTTGGAGTGTTGTCCGGTACACGGAAAGGTTAGGGTTTGGTCCCCAGTCCTTGTAAGTATGGGAGGCTATTGATCGATGTTTCTCTCTCCCATCAATGTTTCTCTCTCTCTCTCCCTCTCTCTCTCAAATCAATAAAAACATATCCTTGGGTAGGGATAAAAAAAAGAATTAAAGCTAAAAAAACAAAACACCATTAATTAGGCTATAACTTTTCACTTGAGAAAGATTTCCCCAAGGTATGGTTGTGTGAGAAAAGCAAGGTACAGAAAAGAGTAGACAGGTTTTTATTTTTGTAAAGCAATGTATGTGCTGTGTGTATGTGTGTGTGTACAGATATGTTTGTATATGATCATATAAATTCTAAAAATATTTAGAAGACATATTAGGTGTTGAATGGAGGAAGTGTGATGAGTTAGAGACAGGGAAAGAGATGGAGGTACCCAATAGTGGGAAAATACTAAATTTTAAGAAGTGTATCTATGGGGAGGGGGTGGGAGCTGGGTGGAGGGGATCTATGGGGGGAAAATGGGACATCTATAATACTTTCAACAATAAAGATAAATTTAAAAAAGGTATATTTAAAAATTTATTTGCGTGCCTCTATGTAGAAATGTTTTTAAGAAAGGGCTAACCAGGTGATGTGAGTAAAGCAATGGTTCAGAAATTAGTGGATGGTTGTGTTTTGGTATTACCTCTATTTCTCATAGACTCTGTGACCTCATGCTAGTCACTGAATCTTTCCAGACCCCTAACTGTCATTGGCAGAATGAATTATATGATTTCAAAGGACCCTTCTTGTTCCTAAATTCAAGGATCTTACATATTTGCCTGTGATGGGTAATAAATCAAATAACACAGTCTTAACTCAGGCTATAAAGGGTCATAAATAAGGCAAAGGCAAATTTGGTTGGGCCCAGATTTTGAAAATACATAATTTTATCTTTTGGTTCAATGTTACTTAGCTGATCTACAGTCACATGAAATCTAACAATGACTCCAACTTATCTTCTCCCCTAAATTGGCTCTTCCTTTTAACTTCATTATTAATGATAATGGGTTGAATATTTTCCCATCTTTGGTTCTGACTGCTTTCTGCTCATTCAGACCACTTCCCGGGTTTATATTCCATTTCTTCCTTACTGCAGTTCTCTGTTGCATTCACTTGTTGTGCTCCAAGCACATCTTTCCCTCTCCTGTTCTGTCTTTATTATGCCTTTTCTCCCACTCCCTGCCCTCTGCATCCTGAAAAAGCTTATTCATTCTTCATGGTCCCACTTAAACCCCACTTACTTTCTGAAGGCCTCTAAAGCCTTCAAGTCATAAAATCTTCTTTAAAAAAAAAAAAAAATCCTACAGCCATGGTCATCTGTGCCCTTTGTATTATGCTTTTTATGCAGTTTTTATACTGTTGTTACCTGTATGCCTCATTTATCCAAAAATACTTCAAGCCCCTAGAGGGCAGGGGACAAGCTTACTGATTTTTTTCGGTTCGCAGGACACAGTGCGGGATCTTATGCATTAAAAGATATTAATTGATCCCATTTCCCTCCAAAATGGCCACTATTAATGCCCTACCAAACTTCAAAATAATAGGAAATTTAAACCTATGGCATGAGATATAAATGAAAACACAATAAAAAAGAGTGCTGTGTTTGGAAGTAATAAAACAGTCATATCTTATTGATTCGACTTTAAGTATCTGTAATGTTGGTTTAGACAATTAAAAGTAAGTCTGTTAGATACCTGCTACCAAAAGCCAGGAATACAGAATGCCTCTTATGTCAAGAAACCTGGCTTGCCAAGAGGACTATAACTTCGAATAGCTCAAAGTTCAGCAACTGAAGGTTGGAAGACTTAGGAAAAGATGAGGGACTTCATAAAACTCTCAGTCCCTGCGCTTACTTTCATTGCCCACAGATAGCTAATGTGCTCATTTAACTTTGAAAGGGTGTTTTCCTTTGTTTGCTTTGTTACTAGAGGTTAATCTATCCATCAATTAAAGAATCAAGAAGAAAAGTTCAGGTTGCTTGCCTAACAACTGTAATTAAGAATCTCTTGCTATATGAGTAGATAGGAAGGCAACACCACTAAATAACACAGATGCTAATGGAATTGTCACAGCGTCTCCATGAGCCCAGGAGAGACTAAGTTCTGAGACAATCTTTGCCCCAAATCCCTCTACCTCCTTGCCCCTACCCTGAGCATTTCCCCCTCCCCTCATCAACCAAATGGCTGAAATCTTTAGTCTCCAATAGGTGAGACACATAAGACACTTAAAAAGTGTAATTACTCAGTGGTTTGGAGTGAGAATATGTCTTTAAAGTCAACCAGAGTAAAAAAATTCAATCAGAGTCCATTATAAGATTTAACCTCTAAAAATTTATAGGTTGCAAACAGGTGGCCCACATACTGACTGAATCCTCCTGCAGGTAGGGGTGTGTGTGTGTGTGTGTGTGTGTGTGT